CCCCCCCCCCCCAGGCGAGCTGAGGAGACCCATAAGCTACCGGACGCAGACTGAGAAAAGCCTGAGACTAAGCACTGAAGTCTGACCCCCACAGACCCGTTTGTTAAAAAAAAAAGAGACACTTTTAAATGGCTTTTTTTTCTTGGTTCTATAATATTCTCACTCAGGTACATGGTGCCAACAAGTGGCTTGTGAATGTGATATATTGTTTTTGTGCAACAGTTCTATGAGAAAAGCGTTTAGGCTGTTTTTTTCGTTTCATTCGTTCCGTAAAATGCACCTGACAGGAGTGAAGACGATGCCTCTTTGCGGGTTCCATGCGTTTTTTTTTTTTTTGTTCTGATTTCAAAGTCGGCAGATTCCTTCCGGCACCTTCTACGGTTCCGTTGCTCTTCCCCCCCCCTGCAGGAAGTGCCAAATCAGCACCCGGTTTCTGGGTTTTTTTGTTCGTTGTTTTTTTTTTTTTTTTATAAACGTGTGCATAGGACTGCGAGACTTTGATCGGCGTCCTGCCCTGGGGACAGTGACGGCAGTGTCACATGGTAGACAATCCCAGACGACCAGCATCTCTCTCTCTCCCTCCCTCCTTCACTTGCTCTTTTTCCTTTCATTCTGGTCACAATGGCTGCAGGCGCTGCTCTCAGGTGAAGAGGAAGGTGTTTGAGAGGAAGCGCAGAAAATCCCCCCTGTGGGTGAACTTTGGGTGCGGATGGGTGAGCAGAGGGGGTCTGCAAGTTGTGTGTAAACTGTAGGAAGGCACAGGAGGCCTGTGTGTGTGTGTGTGTGTGTGTGTGTGTGTGTTGGTGCAGGACTGATGACTGTCCATCGGGGGAGCGATCTTCACCTTTTAGGTTCCCTCGTTTGCACATGGCCTCCCCATTTGCCCCCCCCCCCATCTAAATATTTGCGTACAGTCCTGTAGGATGACTCTCTGTTTTGTAGCTGTTTGATGATGTAACAGGTGCACTTCTCGTGGGAGGAAACGGCACTCGTTTGATCTGGTCTGATTCGTGGCTTGCGTAACTATGGAGACGCGATTAGCGACCCCTGTCAGCCTTGCGGTATTGATTTAGTCTTGTTATCAGCCTCGCCAAAGGGGCGTGCGCACATGTGTGTTTGTGTCAGACGTGCTGCATTCTGACCCGGCACTTTCTGTAATGGGACAGATAAGTGGCGGTTGCTGTCCAGAGCGATGCCAGCGTGGCGTGGGTGTCAGTGGATGCACGAACCAAGTTTAATCACTCGGCACTCTCCCACAGGGGCGCGGTCCCAACCCACCGGTCCCATGTGGTATCTGGGACAGCCTGGTCTCCCTGTCAGCCAATCGGGCTTCGAGTCGTTTGGCTTGCCCTTAAATCCATGGTTTCTGATTGGGCACTAGGTCCCGTTTCCGTACGTCCTGTTTGGGATTTATCAGAACACACTGGATGACAGTGCTAACAATGGCTTGGTGACCCTGGTGACATCAGCATCCCGCAAACACGGCTTTAAGCTATGCAGTCAGCAACTGCGACCGTCCTTGCCTCAGCCGTCTCCCCCCTCACTTCCTGTGACATCACAGCCCATGTCGTCTGAACGTCCAGAGCTGTGTTTCCCAACCCGGTCCTCGGGGACCCCAGACGGTCCACGTTTTTGCTCCCTCCCAGATGGTCCACATTTCTGCTCCCTCCCAGCTCCCAAGGACTGTCTGCGAGTCCCTGAGGCCCGGCTTGGGAAGCACTGGTGCAGAGGACACGCCTGACCCGCGCCCCCCCACGCTGTCAGCCCCTGTTTAGACGTCGTTCCGCGTTCGCTTTCCCCAGTGAATGTGCTGATCGCACAGGGAGAAGCTGCTCTTAAACAGCTGTGCATTTCATTTGTATTTGAATACTGTATTTTCTCAATCAATCTGCCTCTAGTGTGATAATGTTATTAATAATAATAATAATAATAATTATGATGGTCAGCTGTTCCTAAGTTTAGTAAGTTATGTATAATTTATTTTTCTCCTTTACTGAGTTTTTTTATTACTTTTTGAAGCCGCTCTCTTTGAGCAGTTCATAGCTGGTAGATGCTTAGATCTGAAGTGTCTTTTCCTCTTTTGTTTGGATTCATTTTGTCCGTTTTATTTGTCTGTACGTTTCATTGTTAATCGCGCTGATACGGTCGAAGAGGAGCTCGTCCAGCAGAGCGCCGTCCCAGGGGGAGAGAGGACTCCTCACTTTCGTTGGCGCGTCTTCATTAACTTAACCTTCACGTCTAAAAAAAAAAAACGTTTCTTATAGCACTCGGACTGTACGGACAGCCAACAGAAAAACCTGTTTTTTTTAATGTAACAGTTTATGTATAATGTGAAATTTCCTCTCCTTTTTGAAGATAAAGAAGATTATATATATATTGTACCCCATTTTCACTGAACAAAGAACCCCCACTCACCTCTGCTGGGATTTTTACGTACAAGGGCCTTAGCGGAACACCATCAAGCCGGCCAGCTTATCAGCAGACTGGGGGAGACCCAGGCAGACAATCGTAAAGCTGCTGTTGGAGGAGGTGTCGGCTGGGGGGGGGGGATGACCACAAAGCAGTGGCTAGTGAAGCACGCCCCCCCCCCTTTGAAGCCACATCCATAAACACCTATTACTTTACTTCAACATGCCATGGCGATCACTTACAGACGTGATCTATTACATGCTATGAAATTATAGCATGTCTAGCATAGATTGTGTGCTGTAGGGGTAACACATTTTAGTGACTTTGCTCAACTAACCGTAAAAGCTGTACAAAGGGGGAGAAGAAGCTGGATTTGCTGGCCTGTAACTGGGATGGTGTTCCACTGAGCCGCCTTTGTCATGGAAGAGGACGTGTTTAATTTATACGGCTTTGTTTTGGCTCCATAGCGTGGCGTAGCCCAGGCAATTCTTCAGGTGAGCTGCCAGTTAAGGACCCCCGACCCCCCTGTTATCAAAGTGTACGAAAAAGTGATCTCACTGTCATATCCTGCTCCACCAGCACCCAAAACATGTAAATCAGGCCTTCAGACAAAGGGACCAGAATTCTCAATATCACATTGACATCCTGCCACATTACAATCACCCGGAAAATCACAATCACGTCCCGTCACATTACAATCACTTTGAAATCACAATCATGTTATATCACATTGTGAACATCACAATCACATCCCATCACATTGCAATTCCCCTGAAAATCACAATCATGTTGTATCACACCCCAAACATCACAATCATGTCCTGTCATATTACAATCATGTCACCATAGCATCATATTGCCCTGAAAATCACAATCACGTCATATCACACACTGAACACCACAATCACATGCTGTCATATCACAATCATATCACACCCTGAGACTCACGATCACATTCTGTCACATCCTGAACATCACAATTACATCCTGTGACATGCTGAACCTCACAGTCACATTTTGTTACATTGATGAATACACACGCCATTTGGACAGGAGTTGCGGGCCATTCATGATGGAGAGGGCTAGCTGAGAGATGTGGCGGCGATTTGGGGGGCTTGTGAACTCACGCCTGCCGGCACGCCTTTCCTTACACGTGATACAAGTAGTAATAATGAGTAAGACAATCAAAGTCATGTATGGAGCTCAAAGCAAAGTGAAAGATTTAAATATATCTTACCATCTCAACTTGAAATTAAAAAAGAAAATTATGTAAATATAACATAGAGTTATAGATTTATATTTTGTTCATAACACAGTGTAATATAAGTTGTATATTTCTTTTTTCTTTTATTGATGTTATTCATGCCACAATAAAAGCAGGAGTTGATGTACTCTAAAAACACACAAAAAAAAAAACACAAAAAAATCGAAGCCGTGGGTTTCCACCGTCTGTTCTAAGTTCACATTTTTCAGTATTATTGCCAGTTAAGGCTCTAATAAAGACAGCAATGTGTTCTGTAACACCTTGGTGGTCCTACTCAGTGCTTTCTGGGAATCTGATTGTCAGTCACCTGGACAGAAGACCAATCACAGAGTCTTACCCTGTAATGAAAACCTATCTCATAAGGAGAGCCAGCTCCTGAGATCTACATTGTCCAATCAGCAAGCTCCATCACCCCATCACCTGTCCCCTAACGACTAGCAACTAACATCATACAAAGTATCAAATGCAAATTAGGATTGTGTCTTGCATTAAGTGGGTTATATGGGGGGAAAATAAATGTTATCTCCTAGTTCAGCTGATCAAATGACCGAGCACATATATTTTTTTCTGCAATTTGCCTGGGTGCTTTATAATATGATAATTAGTCCACGTAGACCTTCTGCATACATGTGTCCGAAGAGGGAACTCCAGCCTGCAATCCAATTACTCAGATTTAAGCAGCTGTAACATACACCTAATTATGCTCAACAGGGGACACAGACAATTGTCGTTTTTATGTGCCATGAGGGATTTTAAACTGCGAAACGCCTTCACGTTGATATTTTTAATATATGCAGAGTTACTCAGTTCCCGAGTTAAATTTTCAAGTGTTGTAGGTACTTTTTATTGGGGTCAGAGTTTAATAAATCATTTTGAACAAGTGAGCCCCGTGAGTGGTGTAATGGTCTAACAGTTTGAGCAAATATTTGGCACCTGTTAAAAATGCAACTGTGGGCTTTCTAATCTGAGTGGGTATCAACCCTGCCACCTAGTGGCCTCTCGCAGTGAGCTGGGGGGACCGATTGATGTTCTGTTCAAGTGGCCTAGTGGCGTACCAGGGCTTCTATGGGAGGGGCTCACACCTGTCAATGAGGAGGGGTTGA